GAGGGAGAGGGAGAGGGAGAGGGAGAGGGAGAAGGAGAAGGAGAAGGAGAAGGAGAAGGAGAAGGAGAATGAATGAATGAATGAATGAATGAATGAAATAACGGTTATCTGGCGCTACGAAAAACAAATATTAAAAGACATATATATAACATAGGTTCGCCTTATTATGGCACGTAGTTCTGTATTGCCTTAAACAACACCCTGGCCATTCTTGTGGCACAGTTGAACCTACTCTAACGGTCACCTGTATAAGACAATACCCTATACATACGGTTACATCCCAGTTCCCTCTCTCATTAGAATGACACTGCGCAAGTCGGCAACCTGTCGGATTCGGCCCCTTCTCTCCTCGGCAATAGTTTGTCGTCTCGATTTCGACTGTAATAATTAATTATGATCCTGCGAGACGGGGACTGATTTGGGCGTGGTTATAGGTCACTCGGTGCCATGCTGAACGAGCCTGGGTATGACGCAGGTTCGAATCTCTCGTTGGACGCTCCGGGAATTTTCAAAATTCTCTATCAAAATTTCTTTTGGTCTTATCGGAAATGGATATTGGATTCGAAGGTCCTACCTCTAAATGACTTGATGGTGTTGACCACAGTGTTTACCCCTACCACATACTTAGGGCTGGTAAGATTATATAGAGTTAGTGATTCGTCCAGGACATGAATAAACAAAACAAACAAACAAACAAACAAACAAAACAAACGAACAAACGAACACGAAACTGGGGGGCTCTCGTGGCCTAGAGGTTAAGGTGTTGGCCTCTCATTCAAAGGTCCCTGGTTCGAATCCGGGTAGCGACCGAAACATTTTCTTCTCAAAAATTGTCTCCTTTCACTTCCTTTCCTGCTCTCTAGCAATGTTCTGTTGTCTGCTTTCATTTCCACTTTCTACCCCCATCCCCTCACCTCCTTTGCCCCCCTCCTCTGGGCTCCTGACTCTTTCTGTAGCCTTTCTACTGCTACTCCTTGGCTCCTCCTTACTGTTGTCTTTCTGCCGCACCCCTGATCTTCTGATAGGAAAGATCTACACCTAGCCTTCTCGGACAAGGGCTAAAAATCTCGGAGGGCCCGAGTGCAAGTTGCGCACGTTAAAGATCCCTTGGTGGTCTAAAATCGATAAGAGTTGGCTTCGGCCGCCACCCGGGCAAAAATTCAAAATTTCCTACCAACTGAAAATATTAGGTGTGTCCCGCGCGCTCATATGACCTTATGCAGTTGCGAGCGCCGTAAAACACTTTACAAATTACAAACACGAAACTAGTCCAAAATGTGGACAGTTCTATCATTCCTCAGCTTGGTCACTAACATTTTTCAATTGGCAGCTTTTTTGTCTTATTTTGCGTGTTTATTGGTTTGCTTCTTTGTATGTTTGCTACTTTGTTTACTCATTTCTTCGGTTGCCTTGAATTCTTTCTGTGTTTATTTTTTTTATAGTAATTAGAGCTCATTACTTGTATATTTAGAGCTCATGTACTTGTATATTTAGAGCTTATTTATTTGTATATTTAGAGCTTATTTATTTGTATATTTTGCCTACTTTGTTTATTTCCTTTTATACTTTAACTTTTTTTTGTTTGCGTCTTGTTTTTCTTCGTATACTTTTCGGATTGCTCTTCTAGAACATTTTAAAAAACGTGTCTAATAGTTTAATATAACAGTGTTGACCTACTTGTTGTTGCTTTATGGAAGATTTTGTATGCCTATATTTAATTTTTGTTTGCGTGTTGGGTTTGTTTTATTTTGTGAAGGAGAACTGTCACTCGAAAGAAAGAAGTAGTTGTAGCCATACAATGTCTGTAGAAAAGGTAAAACATAACACACAGAGAAAACAAAAACGCGATATGAAGGCACAGCCACTCTTACCTTCTATTCACTCACTTTATCGTCGGAGACATGTTCCATAACCGTAGGAAAAGTAAAGCCACAAGCTCTGTTATTTCACACCCACACACACACACGCACACACACACACACACACACACACACACACACACACACACACACACACACTGGAATTAAATGCATAAGTGCAAGCACATTTAGGGCCGAAACTAGCCGAGACGTTGTTCAATAGCCGAACGGAAAAATAACAAATTGGAATTTCGCACACGAGCTGTCCACTACGAACACAAGCATACCTAGATCGAGATCCTGAAGTAACAAGACATATCACAAAGCATCCGGGCTGTCCTCTATCAGGGTACAAACTGAAAGAAAGGAGGCCGCTTCGCACAGACTACAAATAAATACCGGTATTTATCGTTTCGTGAAATGAGATAAAACACTTCCTGGAAAAAAAAAAGGATTTTTAACCCTTAGCCTGCCTCACACAAAAACTGTTCCGGCTTGTGATAAGGTACCTTACGGCAGATGTTGCTGCGAAGTGATCAATGTCAGGAGAGATTGCTGATAACACGCGTTCACCAGTAACATAACAAAATATGTACATTGTACATGTAGTTGGGTAGCGTGAACTATTAACCCCTTCACCGCCTATTCCAAGGCTCTCCTAGGTTGTTCAGTGGAAGTATGTTGTTGTTGTTGTTGTTGTTGTTGTTGTTGTTGTTGTTGTTGTTCTTCTTCTTCTTCTTCTTGTTCTTCTTCTTCTTC